GGGGGGGGGGGAGCACAAATCACAAAAGTCCTGGGGGATTCAGAGGAGATCTACCATAAGTAGGAGGGAACTTAAGCTGGTGAAGCATATGACAGAGAAATTAAAAGATAGGATGGAAGGACATTCTATACAAGGAAAGCAATACAGATAAGTCAAAGATGGGCACATGAGCAGTGTGTGTGTGTGACGTAATTAGCTCTTTGATGACGAAGACGATACCGCAGGCTCAGACTGGGAGGAAGGCAGGAGTGGGGTGGGAGTAGGCAGTCAGAGGGGTTTAGATTCGATGTGACAGCATACAGGGAGTCACCTCAGATTTCTGAACACGGGGATTATCAGATGAAAGCTGATAACAGAAGGAATACTGTAAAGCGTGAAGACAGATAGACTGTAGTGGAAGAGGGAATCGTGGCTCCTGAAATCAGAGGGGAGAGAAAGATGAATGTGGAAGATAGGGCGGGAGAACCCAGGGCCAGCCCACTAAGCAGGGCAGCATACAAAAGAAAACGGCAACCGCTCTTTTCAACCATTCTTGATGAGACCAGACAGATCCTAGGTTTCAAAGGTGCCTTTAAAAAACGGATATCCATTCCCAAGAAACACCTGCTACGCAGACAAATACATTTGGAAAGATATATTCTTGTGTATTTCTTTCTCATGTTATATTGTCCAACAAGGGGTTAGCACAATGAGGACAGAAAATAATCCTTTGTTTAGTTCTTGGTCAAGTTAACTTAGAAGCGGTACTGCTATTGTGTAGGCGGCTATTTGTGAATTTTGTGAGCTTACTTTTGGCCTTGCTGTCAAATCCCAGAGCTGCCAGCGGGAAACCACAAGTAGGGGGAAACCGCAGGCTCTGTGCCATGCCAGGGCCGCACAGAGAATCAATGAATCACTTAAAATAAACCAACATTTCTGTTTTGACAGCAGGGCTGTCATACATAACTACTAAGACTACTTCCTATTATGTCAAGTCAGCTTGGGGGTCCTATTACAGCGTGTTATTGACATGACGGAAAAGGATGGTGCCTCGCCCCCGGAGAGGGTATATTAGAGCTTAATGTCGGGCCACACTAAGGGAGACTTTGATCCTTGGGTTCTGGAAGAACGAGTGTTTTGGGAGCCTTTAGCACACTAATTTGTGGCTGTGCAGTAAACAGACTTCATAAAATTAGAAATGAAAAATACCATACCATGGCACACCTACTGCTTTAAGTCATGGGGAGCTTTCAACTTAAGTACTTAAAAAAATAAAGCCCTAAATGCTCATCTCCTGGGCTACTTACACAAATTTGAAAGCCAGAATGTTTTGAGTTAAGCAGCTCAATCTGTCTCATCAAACATGGCCAAGCGGATCGCAACCATGTATTAGAATCCAGGGGCCTGGTGTTCCTTTCCCTCGAGCTGCTGCCGGGAGAGAGAAAACAGGAACTCTACCTAGGGGAGGGGGCTCTGCAGGCAACATGAGCCTCCAGCTCCTCACTCCACACTCGGCATCCTGGCTGTGAGGGGGCCAGTTATGTCGCTGAGCACTGAACGGGCCTGCTCTCGTCTGCCTGGTGCCCTGTGATGTGGCTTCAGGGAACCTGGAGCTCAACCCCTGCAATTCCACTCCCCAGACACAGGTCACTTGATCTCTCTACGTCTCTGCTTCCTGCGATGTGACACAGATAACCAAAACACGGCCCCTACTCTCAGAGCAGTGTTCCTGTGAGGACTGAGTGAGTCAAGGTGAAAGTGCTTGTACGTGGAAAAGCACTAGGTCACCATCGCCTTCATCGTCAGTCCCTCACACTCACTGCAGCCCAATCATGACATCACTGTAACTTCCTCAAGGGCTAAGAGAATTTTCTGCATCTTTGTTTCCCCTATGAAACCTAACCCAAAGCAGATGCTCAAAATTCCTTTAAAATTAACAAAGAATGAATGAGTGAACAAACAAACAAATGTAGGATTATAGCGCTTGGGAAAGGTCACCATCCTGTATAGAAATATTTGAATTCTAATTTAAAATGTTTATCTAAGTAATTTAAACTTAATTATTCCCAAACTCTTCTAAGCAGGTTAGCCTGATATCATTATATCATTGTTTTCACACACACACACACACACACACACACACACACACACACACACATATGTATCAAGCACTGGACACAGAGAAAGGGTTAATATATACCACACTTAAAATACAAAGAGACTTTCTCACCAGAAATAGAATGCCACATAATAAGAAAAGGCTTTATTTGGGTTTGCTTACTGCCCTTTGGAGTTTAGTCCTGACAGGCTGAGCTTCCCAGCCTCTTATTAGTGATGCTATTTGAAAATAGGGTGCTGATACTGTTTGGTAAACACTATAAAAATCAACAACCGAAAACCCAAAGCCTGGGAATGAAATGATTTTTCTGATAACAGGAAAAGAGTGGCTGGGGACGCTTGAGCAAGGAGGAGAGATGGGGAAAGACCTTCTGCTGGGCCACTGGCGCATCTGTGCCACAGACGCGTCCTACCTCCTTGTCGCTGTACGAGATGTTTCGGATTTCATTCCACGGGAAAGAGATCTTGGGGGTCAGTCTGTTCTCAGGGTCATAGATGTGAAGCCCCAGGGCATCTACTCCAAGCAGCAGCTCTGTGCCCTTTTTATTCTGCAGATTCAACAAAGAACAGCCACCATCAGTCTAGCTGAGGCTTGAGGTTTTGCTCAACTTCCCAAAAGGCCTGGCACACGATGTTACCTATGACAAGTTTCAACAGGTTCCAACAGAACTCACAGCCATCTTGTAACCCAGAGGGCCTCTGGCTTCCTGAATTGGGACACGTGGAGGCAAAACTATACTGTTCTTGTGACTCACGTGTCCTGTAGAGTGACAACTGGAGGATCCTGCCACTGGCTCAGTGGCTAAAGTAGCAGCAACCTGAGCCCTGTTAACCTCTAATTAAATAAGCAGGTTACCATAGATGTAAAATTAAAACCTGTAGGATTAATAATTTCTTATGTTAATAGAAAAGATGGACTACCAGAAAGAAAATTCTAAGTACTGGGATCAGATGGTCTTATTATGTGTTAAAATGTATCTGAGTGTGATAAAGCAAGGATAGTAAAATGTTAATTGTAGAATCTACTCAGTGGGTTTATATGGGGTATTAACTGTAAAATTCTTTCAACCTTCCTGTATGTTTGGAATTTTTTATAATAAAATGTTGGGAAAATGTATCAAAATGAATTATATATAAATTATACCTTAATAAGGCTGTTTAAAAATTTAACTGACTGACTATACATATGCTATACCTCTGATGGCAGTCCTGGTCAGCAGTCAGAGGGCAAGCCCCTGGGCCCCATGTCACTGACCCAGCTGTGGACCTAGAGGCCACATCCTCGTGATGCAGGTCCGTCTGCCTGTGCTGTGATCTGGCCTTTGTATGACGGTAGAAGGACGCTCCCTGCACAAGGACCTAAAGCATGTGACCCCTTGCTAACAACAAGGAGACAAACCTAAGACTCAAGGGCAGGAAAACAGATCTGCAAACTGAGAAGGTGCTTGGCCCGTGATGAGAAGCAGCAACTGAACAGCAGGTGTCATATGGAGAAGTGCGCGCTCTAAGATGAATTTTCTCTTTCTAACACCCTGAAGTCAGGTGTGATTACCAAACTGTGAGAGAGGCTCCTCTGCTCATCTGCAAAGCTCGGAAAACTACATACTATATTAACACAAGTGAGGCTTTGTACTTTTAAAATCTATGGTACATTTTGGAAAATGAGATATTTTATTATGTTTCTATTTAGTTTAGCTTTCTTTTTTTAAAAAAAAAAGCATTCCACCCTCTGCCTCCTGTCATCATGACTCCACCATTTCAAACAGAGCGAGATAGAGACTCAAGCAGCCCCTTTTAAATTGTTTTAAGTACATATATGTTCCTTACTTGATGGTGAATTCAGCAACTTTAACACAAAAGACTAAACTACCCATTAGCTTTGTCTGTTGCATAAATAAGAAACCACATACACAAAACAATATCTGACTGCTATAAGAAACTGTTTTTCAAGGATTATAAAACACTTTCTAGAATCTAGGTGGTGGGCACTAATGGAGCAAGAGGAATTATGTTGACAAAACCACAGAAATGAGTTAAATTAGTCTGAGCCTAGAGAAACCAAACAATTAGCAAATACAGATTAATAAACTTTAGAAAATAACTTTCTTCATTATTATGGAAAATATTTTAGGCACTTGTTTACTATATGACATAAGTTGTCAGTGTGCCTCATTTTAAGCAAAGTAATCCATTTTAAAAATCTGTATTTAGAAAACAAATCAGGTAGACAGCTACCCTAGAATATTTTAAATGTGTTCCAATGTACCCAATTGCAATATAAAATTTATAGGTACCCCAGAAAGGAAAGCAAACCATACTGTGATGGTTGTTTTAACGTGTACTCATCTATAGTTTTGGAGCTAGCAATGAAATACGTGAGCAAATTCTTATGGATTCTTTTAGAAGGAGCTGCCTCCACCCTGCATCTAGCTGGCAGGAAAGGCCAACCCCAGACTGAAAGCAAATGCCATTCTGATGCAGAAGCAATAGGTTCCCAGAGGACAGTGGACTATTAATGGTCTGAATAAAAAACCAATTAGCCTGCTAGCGAGAGCAAGAGTCCACACCCAAACAAATCAGTAATATATAACAGCAGCTTCACTATCCTTGTGCCCTTGGGGAAGAAAGTACTTACAGGTGCTCTCTGAGGGCCCAGATCTCACGGAGCCAGAAATAATCAGATGTTACACTCAAGCATTCAAACAGGTTTCTGCTCAGTGCAGGACCAGCCCAGTGCCCCACTGAGGCTCAACTGATAATTACCTAGGATCTAATTGAAGTCCAAAAATAGAAAAAGAGGCTATAAGACCCTCTCCTCTTCTCTTCCCTTTACCACTGAACCGTTCAAGAATCTAGAATCTGAATGAGAAAGTAACCCATCTTAGCAGCCTGTCCCTGGTTCAGTCTGTTTATATACAGCGAACTTGGAGAAGCTTCAATATACCCGGATTGCAAAGTAGTTCACGCCATACATCTCCAGGTCCTGAGCTATCTTCAAATATTCCATTTCAGCTTCGTCCCTGTGGGGAAAATGAAAGACACTGTCACTGGAGGGCGAGAAAACTGGAGGGCAGGTGCATGCCAAGCTGAGCGTTCAAACCTGCCAGAAGACGCGGCCAGAGAAGATGCCAGCGAAGCTCCTCCTAACCCTGAGTCTATTCAATACAACAAGGTCAAGCAGAATTTCCCATCCCCATAAAAACAAGAGAACACATTCATTAGTGTCTCTTGGCTTCTATTCCATGCTTCGCCCTTGGAAATAGTGACACTTGTCTCTAACCCTGATTCAAGAAAAGCATGTGGTACGCTACCTTCTCCCCTCTAATGGACCGGAATATTCGATTTTTATTTAAGTTGTTGCTTTATCTGATTATGTCCTTTCTTCACCAAGAAGGTTTTGGTAAGGAAACAACTCTCTGCAAGCTACCTGGGGGCTACCTTCCCGATTTTCTTTCTTTGGGTGTTTGCTGGAGGTTAGAGCAAGAGCTACGTAGGCTGTAAAACCAAAGCCAGGTCACCTACTTCTAAGTTATAAGTCAAATTTAAAGTAAGCTCTTGAAGCAGCAATGACTTGTAAAAAAAAACCCAAAAAACTCCCCAATACGTACAGTATATATTGAAATGTTTCACTCAAGTCTCCCTATGACCTTGCCACCTTCTCTCACTCTGATCTCAAAATGCTCTCAAATGAATTTTAAAAATTCAACCTGAGAGAATGCCAAAAATATGCATATTATACTTTGTTAAAAGTTAAAAAAAGTATGTTGATAGGAAGTTAATTCGGAGAGAAAAAAAGTTAAAGCGAATGAAAAAAATGATCAGTTCCTAAAGTGATAAGGAAAATACTGATTAATATTTAAGATACAATTTTTTACCTTTTAGAGTATAAAAATTAGATTGATAAAAATGAGTGTTGGGGAGAGAATGGGGGGTGGAGACACTCGCATACACTGTCAACAGGCATGTAGACAGGAACGACATTTTTGGAGGGCAATTTGGTGGCACCTGTCAAAACTCAAAATACATCCTTTGACTCAGCAACTCTTCTAAAGAATCTATGGGCAGAACTATTCACACCATTACATAACGATATAAGATGGGATACACTGCAGGACGTTTTGTAAAAGTGAAAAACCTATAGCTACTCAAACGCCATCAGTAAAGAAATGGACGCAAAAGCTATGGGATGTCTATAGAATAGAATTCTTAAAATGAAACTAAAGTACCAACGAATACAGGTCTGTACGTCCTGACAGGTAGTAGATACCGTGCCCGCAAGCACTGGAAAAGGGATACATACAACACTGAACACCACTAGCATTCCTCCCAGCTCTCTCTTTTCTTTTATACACTTTAGTAATGAATGCACTTTGTTCAACAAGCATGTCCTAATTTTGTAGTTCTTTAAAAAAACACCAAAAAACAAACCCATAAAGAAATGTAAACCAAAAATGAAGCAGTCTCACCTGGCTCGGCCCCGGTGCTCTGCGTACCAGGCTGTAATTCTCTCCTCCCACATTTCTGGAGTCATTTGGTATAGATTTATTACCTGCCAAATAAAAAACCCACACACAAAGAGCAAAATAAAAAACCCACACACAAAGGAATTTTTGGTATTGTTTGCCATTTTTATAATTACGCATCATTTTGACAAAACAGCACAGCTATTTTTAAAAAGCCGCATACAGGGAGACAGTCACATGCAAGGGTGGGCGTGTAAACAAGCACCATTCAGTTTGAGTCACAACTCGGGAAGCTGCACCCAGGTGCACACCCTGGCCCAGGCAGGGGCCCCTCTTTCCTGGGTGGTACGCCCCAGAAGGAGGACCGCCGTCAGGAGCCCTGCTCACTAGTCTGGGGCCGGCAGCTGGGCCAGGCTGTGTGCGCGGCTGCCTTCGCCAGGAGCAGGGAAAGTCAGGGGAAGGTGAGGAGCAGGCCTTTATTACACGTGACGGATGAGCGGAGCTATAAAATCAGAGGCAGCAAAAGGGAGGGAGGGCCTGCTTCTGTGGCTAATGAACAAGATGAACAACTCCAGGGATTAAAAACTACAATGCCCACCCCTAACTCATCTGCTCTATCCACCCCGCGCAGCTGCTAACAGCTCCACACTCCTTGGGAATCACTGACGCTCACCCACCTTTAAAGAAAAGACCATCTGCAGGCCACGCTTGTTCTGGCAACCCCAAACTAATTCCATGAACCTTTGCTTTTTAATATTCTTAACAGAGATTCCATACTCTTTACTCAAGATTGATTACAAAATATTTATAATAACGTTCTTGCCACGTTACTTCCATCAAGTCTGGTTAGCTTTCTTGCAGACCACACATCTGTATGTCTTCCCAAGCAAGGAATTTGATTTCTTACCCTTTTTGGAAGCAATTCCTCTTGGGCCAAAAATCCCCGCTTGTGAACAGAGGGGTCGTAGTCACCATACTAGAAAGAGAAGAAAGGGGGAGCAAGCAATTGGGATTCAAAAGACAACTGTCATTTCTGAACGGCTAGACTGTCTCAATTCCCTCCCAGCTCCAGGGAGCAATTCAATCCAGATGACAAGTCAAGATTTCAACCTTGCTAGTTTGTTATCCTTGGATGAAAATACAAAGCTGATTATGTCTATAAACAGAGTTGCATAATCCCTATGGGTGATGTGCTAATAAAAATGTGACATTTGTATGGAAAGGGAGCTGTGTTTTCTAACCGCCAAAGAAAGCAGTCACTACCAAAACATTAGCTTTTGAAATGAAACAACCAAACACAACTGTGAAAGTTGTGATTAGCAAGGTGTGATAAGAGCCTTACCTTCAAATGCTTCTAAGTGGCTGGTAATTGGAGCCAATTGCTAGCTAGGAGCTGGGAGCTGGGAATAATGCTGACAATATTTTTAATACTTTCATTCAAAGCTCTGAAAAATGCTTTGGAAAAATGTGATACCAGCACTGTCATTCATATTTGTCATTCAGACAAAGAAACGAGCAAAAGGTTAACTGGCTTTCCTAAAGCTGCAGAGCAAGTCCCTGGTAGGGCCAGAAATGGGCCCTGCATTTTAATGTATTCTCCCAGGATAATAACTTGGAGATTTATTTTCTGATTTAAGAAAAATAGTCCCTTTCTTTCTTAGGAAACTTAAGTCTGACCAGGAAATAAAAAATGATGGAATTTTAAAACAGAAACAAACTATAAAACATAGAAAATACAAAATCAAAGCCCATCTCTTGTCAATCAGCATTCAGTGGCTTTCCTTTGGACCAAACCAACAAAGCTTGGTGTTTTAGTAGAGTCTTCTATAAACATTTATCCTTTTAGCCACCAACATTGGAAAATAAAGAAAGCTCAAGCATAAGCTGTTGGCTCTATATACCACTAAATTGGGTCAGGGCATGGCCCACCCTGTCATTCCCAAAGAGCCTTACATTGGACCCCTGTGTGTTTTCCAAATGAAGTCATACACCAAATGACTGACAGACATGGGATTGAAAGATGTTAGTCAGCAACTTTAAATCATGCCTCATTCCCACACCACCTTACTATAAAAAGCCTCATGAATTAAGATTTCTTATGAATCTCATAATTATCTTAGGAATAGAATGGTATTGCTTTTTTTTTTTAGTGTTAATGGAATTAATCTGTCAAATTTAAACATTTAAAATATGCCACAGATTTTATAACCCCATCTAGGCATTTCTCCATTTGAAAGAACCTGGTTTGTCTTGATCTCTGAAAGGCCTGGGGATGTAATAAGTCAATAACTCTGAGCTTTAACGGTACTGTCTTGGGAGGCTGCTGCAGAGTCCAGGTAGGAGCCTGGCTTTGGAGGCAGCTGCTTAAGGTTCAATCCCAGCTCTTTCACTTATTAGCTGTGACCTTGGAAAACCTGTGTCTCCGTTTTCTTGTCTGTAAAATGGGGGTGATAACAGTATCTTGTAGGACTCTTTTTTTTTTTTAAATATGTCTTTATTGATTTCAGAGAAAGGAAAAGAGAGATAGAAACATCAATGATGAGAGTCATTGATCAGCTGCCTCCTGCACGCCCCCGGCTGGGGATCGATACCGCAACCCAGGCATGTGCCCTGACCGGGAATCGAACCGCCATCTCCTGGATCCTAGGTCGGTGCTCAACCTCTGAACTACACCAGCCGGGCACTTGTAGGGCTCTTACTGGGATTAAATGAAATAATAGCCATAACGTTGAAAAACTACAGTTGACACACAGCACTCAACACATCCTGATGTTAAATGATAAAAACTCAAGTTGTGTCACCTCTCTGAGTGTTTTCTAATTTGTCAGGTGAGAGTGCTGGTCTTAGAGGATTTTGAAGTGGGGACTGCAGAGTATCCTCCGGAAGCCTTGAGCAAGGCACCCTCTCTAAACCTCAGCTTCCTCATCTGGAAAGCAAGGGCCACAGTAACGCCTGCCCATGGCAGGTGACGACGACGAAGTAAGACAATCGGGCAAGCATCTCCCTAGCGACTGGCTCTCAGCTACTGTCCGTATCATCATTAACCTCTCCATTGTTTATAATGACACTCGTCACTGGCTGCCTCTCTGAGTTTTAAAGGGGTGGGATGCTAAAGAAAGCCTTGTTGGTTGCATTTGCAAGCCTCTCAAGCTCTAATGCAAAAGTAAGCAGATATGCAAAGTTCAAGTTGTAAATTCAGGTTCCAAAGGCTTGTAAGATTAACGATCCACATTATCATGCTGAGCTCCCAGCTACTCCCCGGATCAAACAGGTTACATCTGAGTAATGCAGAGACAGCAAAGACCCAGCTGAAAGGACCTGCCGCTGGACTCACTCCACTTACAACATTAAAGCCACCTTGATGTATGAGGTGGCTCTTCAACGTCTCTTTAAAAAACAAGGGCAGACAATCCTTAAGTTGTGGCAGTTGGTGATTATAAAAGGAAGTCATACCACACCACAGAGATGGCTGCTCTCAGCCTTTTCTGCACAAAAGCATTCTGATTATATAACCAGGGCTGAATTTTCTGTGAAGCCAGTGATGCTGGGGTTTCAAGTCTCTGCACCTAACTTTATACTCATAATTTGTATTCTTGTGTTGAAAAAACTCCTTCGGTTATATCAACTTCAGGCCCCACAAAACCTGGATCCACCCCTGATATAAACCAACTGAATTTAAATTTGAGATAGGAGTTCACCATTTATGGGATTCTTGGAGTCAATTCTCATGTTAAACAGATATTTAATATCCTTCTGGATGTTAAATACTTTCCTCTGCCTGAATGTATGGAAAATTAGACCAAATGCGCTGAACAGGACTTCACAAAACATAAAGATTTAATCAATACATACACAGCATAAATAATTGGATCCCTACCACACATCAGTCACTAAAATACAGATGGATTGAAGACTTAAACCATAAATGAAAACCCAGCAAAATACCGGGACAAAATATAGAAGAGCATGTATATAATAATAGTGGTGAAGCCATTCTAAAAGTCACTCAAAACATAAAAAGAAAAAGACTGACAGTCTGACACATAAAAAAAAGATAAAAGGTTAATACCAATCATGAACGGAGCTCCTATAAATCAACTAGAAAAAGATAATCGAGTAGAAAAAACAGGCGGGTTATAAACACTTGCGTACAGAGGAAAGTAAATCTATGAAAAGATGCTCAGCCCCAGTGGTAAGCAAGGAAATAAAAACTTAAAAGAATCTATTTTTTCTGTCAGATTAGCAAAAATGTAAAAGACTGATCGCATCCATGAGGATGGGGAAAACAGATATTAACACACTCTGTTCTTAGAAGTTCGACTGGAGGGCAATTTGGCTAGATCTATTTTTTTAATTGAGATAGAATTTACGCGCATACAATTCACCATGTGAAGCATATAATTTAGTGGTTTACAATATATTCAGAATGTTGTGCAACTATCACCACTATCTATTCCAGAATGTTTCTATCACCCCAAAAAGAAATCCCATACCCATTAGCAGTAAGTCCTAATTGCCCCCTTCCATCCCCCGGCTACCACTAAATGTACTTTCTGTCCCTATGAATTTGCCTATGAACATTTCATATAAATGGAATCACACAATATGCAGCCTTTTGTGTCCAGCTTCTCTCACTTAGCATTATTTAAATTTTAAATGTCCTATCCTTCAACCCAGTTTTGCCATTTCTTGGTATCTATCAGAGAAATACTGTTCATATGTTCATGATCAAGGGTGTTTGCTACGTCCATCTAGAAGGGAAAAGCAAACCCAAATGTCTACCAATAAGGAGATATTTAAACAATCCAGAGTCCCTCCTATTTATGAAAGGTAGTTTTTAAAAATGAGATGGTCTATCTGTTCTGGTAGTTGTCAGTGAAAAGGGCATATTGTACAGGAGTCCCTCTGGGGTAGAGTCACCCAGAAGTGGACTTTCAGGGGCTGGGTGGGGGGGTCTCCTCACCTGACCAGCCCCTACCTCACCCATCACTCTACGCTACAGAGATTCCACCCATTCAGTCCCTCCCAGCACTAAACGCACTTAAACAATGCTCCTGTTGCTCTCGATTTAGTAATCCTTGTCAATCTTATGGGTTTGGAATGTTACCTATTGTTGCTCTAATTTTTCTTTCTCTTGATTGTTAGTGAGATTGAGCATCTTTTTGTATTTACTGATCACTCTCGTGTTCTCTTCTTTAAAGTGCCTGTCACTCATACCCTGTGCCCATTTTTCTGCTGTCTTTTTCTTACAAACATAAGAGTTCTTTATATTCAGGGATATTTATGCAATTCTACTTCTAAAAATCTACCTTAAGGGGAGAAAGCTTTTGCACATTTATACAAGGAATCACATAAAAGGATTTTCAGTAAAGCACTGTTTCTAATAAGGAAACAGTAGAAACTAAACCTATCTCTTCCTCAGAGGGGGATGGATAAATAAACTAGGTTTATTCATCAGAGGTTACCATACAGTGGTTAGAATCAATGAGCTAAATCTATACATTATACACAGACACATCTTAAAGTCAGTGTTGAGTGGGAAAAATACCATTTTATAAAGGATATACAAAAAAGATAGGAAGAGTATAGCATCATTTATATCAACCTTTACCTCCTGAATTTTTTTAAGTCAGCCTCCTCCCTTCCAACTCATGACCGCCTGAGGTGTGAAACTCATTCACGGTCTCTCACCAGGAAGACCACCAGAGTCTGCTAAACGGTCTCCCTCTCCCTCCAATATGTCTTTCACAAAGCCACCAAAATCTATCTAAAATATAAACCCTTCACTAGCTCTTCATCGCCCACGGGACAAAGTTAAGACCTTTTAGGATCTGGCCCCCTGCAGACATCTCCAGCTTCATCTCTTGCCACTCTACATATACCTTACACATAACTTCTTAACTGCCTTTTGGCACTCTGCCCCTAATTTGTATCAAAGAATACTTACTAAGAAACAATCATTCTCCTCTCCCACCATTCTTTTCTCTGAACACTAGGAGTCTGCAGGCCAGCACTGCAAAACTGATAAACTATATACCACTTTCTCCCAAAGTTATTTTTAATTAGAACACATTTCAAACACCAAATTGTCAATACGAAATCCAACAGGTGGCTTAAAACATTGCAAGACAGTTTGCTGTGAACCCAAAAACCAGCCCATACTTTTGATTCAAATGTAACTCAAACTCCAACCAAGAAATGTGGTTCTTGTTAACTGAACCATATGATTAATATTTGTATTTATACTTTGAGGGTAATTGTTTCTTTATGCTTCGGAATTAACTGTGTCTATATCATTCAAACAGCTAAAACACTGTAATGAATACATTTGTGGATAATTACATTCCATGTGTTAATGAGCTCAATTCCCTTTCCCCTCCACACTTCTAAAGTTCCTTTCTGTTTTGGAAAGGTTGTGGAAGTAAACAAACTGAGCATAATGGAAGGAACCGTATAGTTTACTGAAAAGTTTGGACTAATCTGACCATATAAATGAATCTGGGACTGGGATTTACTGAATGGCAGTGCGTGCTGCCTACAGACCTCCCTCAAGCACAGACAGTGAGGGGCAAGAGCAAAGCACTGAGTCAGGCACTCAGACACCAGGTTTCTCATCCTGGTTCCAGTCTCTAGTTCCTTTCTACTTCAAATCCTGCCCCCTGAGAAGTGGGCTACAAATTCCATTTTTTTTAAAAAAGAATTAATATAAAGTATTGTGACTTTAGACAAATTATTACTCCTTTCTGAGTCTTAGATTTGTCATCTATAAAACAGGCATAATACTTTCAAGCCCAGGCTTACAGCAGACTACACTGAGTATCACAAGGAATATTCATGTTATAACACTTTGTAAAACTGTGAAACACTACAGGCATGTAAGATCTTTTTAATATTGTAATCAGAGGTATCCTTTTAATATTAGCCAGCAGTCCTGGAAAGTGGGAGCATGTTATAATAATCCTTAGTCTCCCAAATGCAGACTTGAAGTCATAGATTAGCTTTATTTGTGAGATCCTGAGAATTTATACCGGAAAAAACAGAGCATTCTCCTCCATATGAGCCACATATGCGCTCCGTGAATCACTTTCATCTCTAAATTAGTAGGACCCAAATTAGTAGGGCTTTCCTACAGTGAAATCTGTTTAAGCAAACATCTGCTGGTTCCCAGACAAGTTTTTTCTTTCTCTCCCACAGGTGGTCTTTGAATTTGTGGCCCAAAACCCATGTAAAGAGAATGTAGCCTTTGAGACAAAGCCCTTCAAAGAGAGGTAGTGTCCTTGAGAGCCTGGGTCTCCTCTCAGCTGGGGAGAAAGCGTGCTAAAAAGGAACTCAGTTCCGGGCCAGGAAGTGCTCGGCTTTAATGAGAGTGACAATGACTGCTTCATCACTGTCAGGGTGATACTGATTGAAAGGACACATTTTTCCTGTTATTAATATTCTTAATCAAAGCATAAAAGGAAGCATATGTTTTAGTTGAATCAAGGCCAATTTTTCTGTTTTTTTCAATTACTCATTTTTCTGGGCAGTGGAATAGGGGAGGCACAAAATGTAATCCCAAAGCCATGCCTTCTGCCTTTAGCTTTACTCCAAGATTGCCTGAATGACCTTGGACAAATGAGGGCAGATACTTGCATTAGTGCCTGCATTGTGACAGCATCAACACCCCCCCATTCAGCACCCATTACACCAGTCATCAAATGATTACGAGTCATCAAATGACTCTGGGGCTTCTTTGGGTCTGACTAGCTCGTACAGACTTTTTTCTCCCTCCAAATGACAGGCCAGTTACTTCCTGACTTTGATCTGAAATTGCATTAAGCTACCCAAAAAAGTAGGTTAAGTAGTTAAAGGGTCTTACTAATTTTTGTAACTCTACAGGGAAATGGCCTTATGGGCACCTCCAGCTAAAAAGGAAGAAATAACCAAAGATGACACAAAACCACAGAAGTAATCAAGGTGTCCTAATGCTGGGACTTCACACGCTGCAGTGAAAGGTAGTGAGCGAGCAGAGGGACCAAGAGAAAGTGGCATGTGACTGACGTGGAAATCTGTGGGACATTACACACCCTGGGCTGACTCTGTAATTGGTCGTATAAAAACTGGCAGGACAAAAACACAAGACCACTGGGCTTCCTTTCCTGCCATTCTCAATGTGCTGTGATTTCTCTGGGAAGGCCTTTCTGCTAACCAGACAGCTCAGCTGGACTCAGTGCCCACCCATAAGCAAGGTGGCATGCCTCAGGGGTGGGTGAAGTGGGGCGCTCTCTAGGGTATGGGGAGGTCCCCATAGAATAGGGCTGTTGGTCCTCAGAAGATGAGTTTGCAATGAGAACCTGGCCCAAAGGCCATGTTGGCCCAAACTGGAGATCATAAGTCCATTTTTCCTAGTTAATAAAAAGAGAGGTTGGTTCAGTAAATGTCAGGAACCACATGTGCACAATGAGATTACAAAGGATGTTTATCAAGCTATACACTTATTTGTAAACACACATACACTCACAAGATTACATAGAAGACAGTGATACTTGGTTCCCCCAGTTCCCTCTCACTTGTTGGGAAAAGTCTCTCTGAGTCTAGAAAATCCCAAGAAACAGAGCACTGGAACAACCTGTGACAAGTTAATGCCCAGGAAAAATGGATTTTTCTTCCTTGAGCCTACCTTGGCCTGGACAGCGTAAGAAGCCAGCAGCACAGAAGCCTCAGGAGGGCAGTAGATCTTTTCATCTAAGATCTGCTTCTTTACCTGAAAAGGGCAACAAGGGAGACAAGACACCGTGAGTGCAGAAGTGAGCTGTGCAGGCTGGGCACAGTGGATAGCTGCAGGGTGTTCTAACGAGGGCTGCCTGCCAAACCAGCCTGTTAATGATTTTCTGACAAGGGGTACCATTTTTTTTCTTGCCGCAGACAGGTTGGGAGTTCAGGCACCGAGAAGTTATTGGTAAGACAGCCATGCGGGAAAACCCCTTATCTCTTCTGTTCACCATCAGATGCTGAAGAGAAAAAGCAGTCTTCATGGTTAAAACAGAGAATAACATCTGGGCTGTGACAGAGGAGAGCTGTGAACTTGAGAAGTGTCAGGAGCAGCTCTGATGGTGATTGCAGCCTCGGCCCCTGCTGAGAGCACGCAGCACTAGAGGAAATGGAGTCTACTTTTAAGTCTTCACACAAGATAAAAGTCAGCAAGGCCACTGAGTTATGACTGCGGAAAAAAACCATCACTTTCAATATGACTGCTCTAAGGAAAAAGGAAGCAATAAAGTGTGATCGATTAAACTTCTAAGTACATGTGAGGTCCGGGAAATACAATTCTTAAGCCGTAATGTTGAATTAACATATCTCACTGCATTTAATTTCTTAGAATGGTGCAGACATAAAGGCAAGAGAGCCACATGAAGTGGGGGCACACCAAAGTAGACACAACGGGAAAGCCAACTCTCTTTTCACAGATGTCAACAGTCACCAGATTCATACGAGTAGTAAATTTTGCCTTGTTCAGCCACGAAAATGCTCGAACATTTCAGTGTGAGGGAAAATTAAGCCAAAGGCACATGAGGACCGGACACTGCATCCAAGCGCTTACAAAAAAGCCATCTCTACACTAGGACACTGTGGGATCTAGGAGATCATTATATGGTTTCATTCAAAGCAGTGTGACTTCCTAATCCCTTGGTTTATTTTCAAAGGGGAAAAAAGCCACACTATAGAAAAACTGAAAGGAATTCCCTTTGAGCAGAAAAAGTTGGGATGGGAAAGTATGTATGTATATATGTGTACACGTGTGTGTGTGTGTGTACACACATCCACACCTTTTTTTTGGCAAACTTTTTTTTGTAAAAAACTATTTGGGGGGGTTTATTACATTTAACTTAATATTTCCTGAATGCAATAACTTGAGGCTCGAACTAATTTTTGAGCCTGGAATACATGACAGACTATCCATCTACTTCTGGGAAATCATGCAATTAACGCCCCTGCTGCAATCTTTTCCATTACTGACAGTGGGCACCTTCAGGCACATGAGCAGCTCTGGCGCCAATCACTGTAACTAACCATGAAAACAGGGGAAGCGCTCTGATCAAGCAGTAAAGATGCGAGCAAAACAGACAAGGTTTCCAGCCTCACACTAACCTGCCCCTCACTGTGCCCTCAGACGGTCAACTAGCTATCTCTGAACCCATAATTAATTATGGATCTCCTCATTTCTTCAGTGTGGTTGAGAGATTACTTGTGGAATGCCTACTGGGCACTCAGTGAGCCTGGCCTTTAAGGGGCGTGTAATCTATGAGGCAGTAAGGGAGAAACAAGACAATTAGAGGCAAAGAGTAGCACAGAGCACGGTGTTTGAAGCTCCACATGTGTGGGATTAACCAGGTGTCACTGGAGTTCTGAAGTCCTGTCTCAATGAGAACAGATTTTGAACTTTTGGGAGGACAATTCTTTATAAGACTCTCTTTCGGCTTCCTTTGCAACTATTGGGTACTTGATTTCAAGTTAGTGAGAAGAAAACCAGATCTATCTCCAGAGGTTTCAAATCAGGTAGCTACTTCACCATCACACTTTAGCAATTTTATCTGACACCAATTGTCATCACTCAAATCTAGTTTTATTCTGAAGATGTTTTCCATTACGGATCCAAAAGGACTGACTTTCCGGAGGTGAAACACTCTCGCAATGTGAGGCTCTTCCGGTCAGCTCCGAGGGGTTCGTGCAGGCTGCCTCTGCAACCATGCCGAGCGAGCTTCCCCATAACTAGGGGCACAGCATGACTACTGTACCTGCAAGAAGAATAAATGTTGCGTGATCTCCTGGACCAGCTCCTCCTCGGCATTCTCAGGATAAAACTTGGCCAGGAAATGAAAGGTAACTGGCTCTTCCTTTGAGACATCATGATCCAGCACCTGCAGAATTGCAGAGCAAAAGACAAACAAGCTATGTTGGCACGTCTTCCCCCCATGCCGCCACCAAAGAACCTTTTGCAGGGAATGTATAAGCATCTTCTCCCCTCTAAATTCATCACATTTCCCAAAGGTTGTGACTCTTTAGTCTGAAGCACTCACAAAGCCATCTATAACAAGAAGTAAAGCTCACTTCAAATGGCATCTGTGAACCAATCTAATGAATGTCCCCAATGGGTGAGTGGAGCTAAGATTAAGGCACAAATGTTTTCAAGGCCACAGAGATAGTCAAAATTTAAAAATGTATGACTCAAAGGTCTTGGGCACTACCCTTCATGGTAAGCTGAATGTTTTTTAATTCTTTGAAGTGGAATATTTCTTTATTCTCTTTTCTTGCTGCCAACTCCCAACATTTAAGTCCATATTGGAATGGAGCTTAGGATGATCAACTAAATCTTTGTGAAATCAGCTAAACACTAACTAAGCAACAGAAGTGAAACGTGCCCCTCATGGCAACCCTTTGTTTCAAGGAACCTCTAGAGATGCCTCACAAAATACTTGAGCACAGTCAGTAAACCACATTGCCTTTAATCTTCTAACAATTCCATCCACCCACTGAAAAGCTTGAACCATCTGCTCTCCAGAATGAATTTCATTTCAGGCCATAAACATGCAATGTGACAGGCTCCAAGTCTCCATTAACATGTGTCATAATTTATTTTCTTTGAGCAGCAGGTACTGTGGCTCCTGATGCCCCCAATCTAATATCCATTTGGCCAATACTCAGGTACATGATTTAAATTTACTTTGCTGAGAATCACACAAAAAATACAGAAAGTTTTGCTGTCCTTGATAAATAACTCCACGCCCCTGCTCAAATTCCAATTGGTGGTTCCAGGAGATTCAAAATAAACCTGATCTAGGACAATCTTGCTGACATGGGCACACAGGGGGCACTTTGAGGTTCATGATCATTGGGAATTACCGTGTGAAATTTATAACCTGTGGGGGTTCTAACATGAAGATTCAGATTAGTGCGTACACATGTAAGTAATTTGAACACTTGAGTTTAGAGTCAAACTGGTAAAAGACAAGAGGCTTTTATTGTTTTTTCGTGCCATGTAATAGATAATAAAATCAGGTGAGCAATTGCAGGGGATTCCATTTGGGACAAGAATTAGACACTGACTTACTTTGAGATTCAAGTGTCTTTTAGGAGTTACTGACAAAAACTGGTCTCAACCATCTTCACAGTTGCGTAGGCAGGTAAGCAGGTAAGTACGTCTTTGTGTACACATATGAACCCACACAGAAGGAGTGTTCCCTAGGCAACATTCATTTCTAAGCCACACTAGGACTGCTGGGAGCCCACTTCAGGCCTCAGAAGCCCCAGAAAATCATGCTAAATGGGCAGTCCTCCTTCATCACAGGGACCAGGGCACTTTTTATTCCTTAGATCACATTAATAATTAAACTGAGTTGGGCCATGGCGTTTCTCAAAGACTTTTAAAATTTCATAAAGCATATGAGCCCAAAGAAAATCTTTCAAAGACATATATGTAATTTTTATTTATAAAGCCTGACTAGTGGCTCAATAAATTGAACGGCGTAAAGCAGAATCAGTCAGCCCGGTGACAATGAATAAAGAAACCAGGGATCGCAACAGTTTAATCCCGGTGGGTTCTGCTTGCCAAGGAGCCTGTGAGGAGTAGAAAGCCCCTTTCTCTACCCTGTATCCATCAAGCCCCAGGATGAGCAAATAAGCTGGGCACATGCTCAGGGAAGAACCAGGGCACACACCAGCCCCTCTGGCTTCACCCAGTTCCAGTCCAACCTTCTTGTCCATTTTGAGCCAGGCCACGGTGTCCTTGATTGTGTACTGCAGTCCAAAGAACCAGGTTTCCCGAAGCCCCAGGGTCCGGCACACCAAATCGAACAGGTCCTTCCCTTTCCACTTCATCTGCAACAACACAGACCAAGAGGGGAAAACACTGTGAGCAAAAGTCATAACCCGCTCGCACAGAAACCTTTCCTCTGTGCCCCCAACTCTCAGATTCCAAGATGTGGAGATTACACTAAGATGGCTGATGCGCACAGAACTCCTAAATAATTTTAAAGCTTCCTACACAAAACCACGTGCGGGAAATACCAATTAGAGCTTAATGGCTTAATCACGGCAAAGCATACACAATACCTCCCTTGGACAGTTCCTTACAGGCCTTAATATCCCCAAAGCTAATTTAGGAAAGCTGAGAAATAAGCATCCTCATTTAGGAGAGTCTAGCCTCTTGTGTTAACGCGGGGAGGTGGCTAGCTTCCAGGGACATTAATTTCCTTGAGATTTTGTCACTGATTTTTAAAAAAATCATAATCCGCCCAGCCGGGCGTGGCTCAGCGGTTGAGCGTCAACCTAGGATCCAGGCGACCAGGGTTCGATTCCCTGTCACAGCACATGCCTGGGTTGCGGGCTCAATCAATGACTCTCTTATCATTGATGTTTCTGTCTCTCTCTCTCTCCCTGTCCTTTCCTCTCTCTGAAATCAATAAAGATATATTTTTTAAATTAATTAATTAATTAATTAATTAATTTAAAAAATCATAATCCTGCCCTTTGATAAAAGGCTAGTGGTTTTTTTTGTTTTTTATTTAAAGGCTGGTTTTACCAGAAGGTTTTTTGGGTTTGTTTTTTTTTTAAAGCAACATAGGAAAGGAAGTTGTAACCAAAGTAATGAGAAAAACCATTAGAGATCAGTCATTCCAGTCACAGGTCTCCCTTATCACAATGTATAACCGAGGTCAAAGGGGAGGCAATTTCAAACTCTGTGTCTGAACCAGGGATGAAGAGACTGCAATACACTGTAGTGTACTTATCCCACTGCCTCACTTTCAAAAGGGCCTGAGGCAATGGCTGCTTAAACCGTCTCCTCAGCTATTCAGTCTAGCAGCTGGGAAAGCAAGTTTCACATCTTAATAGGGGAAGGAAATGCCCAACAGTTTAGTAAATGTTGCCACCTTGTGGCTTTCAAGTTAAATCACCCAAGTTGTTCCCAACTACCCATTAGCTGCTGCTCACTCCCCTTCCCCCAAAAGCCTCCAAGTCCCAGGTGGAAATTCAAATATACACCCGGTACGTTTATGAGCCTATGAGACACATCACAGTGTCAGTGGTCACAGGAACAATCATCTTGGGTTTCAAATACAACGCTGTCGGAAGAACAGGACCACTTGACTGTAGACGCCTCTGTCCTTCTGCCCTCATTAGAAATCTCCACCCAATTCCTGGCACACTGAAGATGCTTAATGAAAAGGAATGGGGAGGGGGGAAATTGGGGTATAGAGACTTGGTATAAAAGCAAAAAGGAAAAAATAAGTTAGGCCTCTAATATCTGATTGGCTTTTGCTACAACCTGAATCAAAGAGGATTTTTCAAGTAGGTCTTCTATTTTTAACATACGCGAATGAACAGTGCGTCCTCTATGAGGGAGTCAACAGGAGAGCCCATCCCTCTTCCATGTTTACAGTCAAAGTCAAAGAGCAAAGTAGTGACCTAGATGGAGGGACACCAAAACCGCAGCAGACAAGTGGCTGAGATGTACTGGCTTTTGTCCGTCACCAGGTCCCCGCTCTGTGACTTTAGCGAGGCCTCTGGAACACTACAAAGGTTGAAGTCTTAAGAAATTATTTTGCATAGAATAAAATGACAACTTTTATTTTAAAAAGATGATCTCCTTCCCCTTTTGTAAGGCTTAATAATGCTTGCTGACACACCCATTTCCCAGTATGACAATAGGACAAAGGGTTTTTAATTCAGGGCAGGTTTTAATTCCTACAGGCAGGTTTCACTGAAGAAATGTTATTTTGGAAAACCAGAAGCTTCAGGATGCTGATTACTGTCTTGTCTCTATTTTAAGCCAGTACACAGTATATAAATTATAAATGACCACCTTGCTACAAGATAATGTAACACTAAAAAACAGACATTAACTTGGAGAAGTTAAAACCCAAGGGCCAAGATCAAGGTAATTCCAAATCCTCATAACTCACGGCCATGGCCACCCTGGGATTTGGCACACAGGGGTTGTCTGCAAATGGGATGTGCAGGGCATCTAAAGGAAAGCGGCAAAGAGAATGGTGAGTGAAATTCTTGACTTGGGAGTTTAAATTCTCAAACATAATATCGTATGACTGCAATTTTTTTGTATTCCTTTCTACTTCTTTGTTCTTAAAATGCAAAACTATCTCTGTTGAATGCAGAGACAATGTCATGAAGCAGGCAGTAAAGTGAGCAGAGGGGGAAAATTCTCACACGGATTCAAAATGCCCTACTTAGATTTTAAACTTTGACTCTAAGAATCGTAGAATATCAAGAGTTGGAAATACGCCTGCCTACTGGGTCTACCTACTATAGATCCATCCCCTTTTTGTATAAATAAGGAAACTGAGTCATAGATTCTGCTAAAGTAGACACTGACATCCACTCCTTTAACAAATATTTGGTAAACACCCAATGTGTCCAAGCAAAAGCCAAGGTACAGGGAATAAATGGGGAACGAAAGAGACAGTCTCTGCTCTCACAGACCAGGTCTAGGGCATGAACCAGTCAGGAACAAATAATCACCCCACACATAAAAATCAACTCCAAGTGTGGTTTTCAGCACTGCAACACTTGTAAGTGCCACAACAGGGACTACAGAGGCTGTAGGGATGCCCAGTAAGGGACCCTACCTTGGTGGGATGGAGAATGGCATCTAAACTGACTCTCACGTGGGAAAGAGGAACCAAGTGAAAACTGGGTGTGGGGAAGGAAGAGTGAGCAGGGAGGTATGTTCCAGGCAGACGGAACAGCATGTGCAAAGGTCTAGAGGCAAAAAAGCTTAGATGGTCCTTGTAGGAAGGGAAAGTATTACAGTTCAGTTTGACTGAAGAATAGAGGCTGGAAAATACTGACTGCTATGCTCCCAAAAGGACCATCTAAAGGCAATTCTCTGTAAACTATCTAACTCTGCCTCTCTCGTGTGAACCACAGAACACAGAAAGTTATCTGAGTGACTGTTTTCTCTTTTTTCCCAAGAATGGATTATAACTAGTACCATTCTAGAGATACAGGAAAGAAGTTAAATCATTACCTAAGATGGATTCCTCAGGACATTCAGACTTAATTCTTTCCAGGAACCTGTCTAAAGGGAATATATAGGGTATGGTTATCTAACATTGATAGGAATCTCAGTTCTGTCCCTCTGTGACCTTAGGCAAGTTATTGAACTTTCTTATATTTCCCAGTGGGGATGGTAAACAGAACATGTCTTAGCAGACTGATCTAAGGATTAAGTACATTAATACAATTAAAAAACCTTAAGATGGTGCCCTACCCATAGTAAATACTCAATAAAGGGTAGTTATTATTCATTCTAACCCTGCCTCCACTCCTTATATTCTCAAGTGGCACTGTTTAAAGTCTCCCAGTCCTATTTCACTCCATGGATGATGGATGACAGATCACAAAGGCCACCATCAATTCTCACTGAGCTAACCATGCTATCACTCATTTGACAAACATTTATTGAGCACCCACTACGTCCTAGTCATTGTGCTCGGCACAAGAGATAAATGATGAATTCAGGACAAGACACTGTCCCTACTCACGTCTGACAGGGAAGACAGGTAAATGGATAACGAAGATGCAACCTGGTCAATGCTAACAGGACAGAGTGCTATGGGGACACACCTCAGGCCTGGGAGTGAGGGGCTCCACTGGGGAGACACTGTCTGGGCTGGGTCTTGAAAGTCAAGCGGTACTTGGTCCTCTGGTGAAGGGGCTAAGAAAGGAAGGTCACCAGCTGGAGAGAACAGCATGTCTGCCTTGGGTCCAAGCTGTTGCAGATGAAGGAATGTTCTTTGCACTTCCCTAGTATCTGACAAGCAGCCTAATTATCCTATCTGCAGTACTGAATGTTCAATGCAGCGCTGAATATGCAGCTTCAGCCCGAAGCAGGTGACAGCTCTCCACGGCTGATGAGGAGCCACGTTGTTCAGTGCAGCACGTGGTTCTCAGCAGCCATACATCCCATCACAATACCTGCCAGGTCTCTAAGAAGCCACGGCCAGTGGAATGAGTCTCATGTTTATTTTTTTATTAAAATATTTCCTTTTCTGCCACCTGACTGCACAATAAGCCTTTCGGGCTTTGCGCGTATACTATCTAAAGACCCTTTTGTGATCATAGGGTTTGTCATTTTTCCTGAACAGACTGCCAAAAATAGAACAGCTCTTGGCTTTGATTAAATGTTCACTTCAACCCTGAATGTGACCATGTCTTTCCACCTGGTCAAAGTGTTCACACTGTTCCACATACACTACTACAGCAGCTCCTTGCCTCATCTCAGCCTAGCGAAGAGGGAGCCTACGGGGCAGGTGCTCACTTTGCAGACAGAAAAGAACAGGTGGAGGGAGGGAGGTGATTTGCAGGGAGAAGAAAGGCAGGAAGGAACACAAATCTGGACTCCACAGCATGTAAGCTCCCACTCTGCAGACCTCGTCCTCAAGATGCCCTTCAAGCTTGGGGGCTAACGGTAGTGAGCCTGGGAGTAAGATGCTTCATGCTTTGTGCCTGGGCTCTCTATCACTTTAACAGTCTGCAGTGCTATTTCATAGATATATACTTGTGCCTGTATCAAAGATAGATGTGTATGAACTTTATAAACAGGACTAAGTGCTGTCAGCTTGTTATTTTTTCTAGGGGCTAAATTTATGAGCTTTACGCAGAGTGAAGTGCTAGCAATTTATCAACCTAGAATGTTTTAAGTAAGTAGCACTAAGCACTTATCCTCCCCAGCAGGGACGTAGCTAGAATGCAGCACTTTCCGGCTGTAGGATGCAACTGGCACCAATAACCTACAGGGCTGATTGGGGTCTATTAACCAGGGAAGCATTATGAATAATTCTTGACAGTTATCTTACAAT